GCAATGTAAGAAAAAGATAACTTACCACGTCGATGATCTGCTGCAGAGTGATGCCAAACTTCACCTCCAACGGTTCACTCTCATTCGCAACTGGTCGCTCCAAGTTGTTATAATTTGCCAGCAGATGATTTAATAAGCGTTTCTCGTGACGCCCACAAAGGCTTTCTGCGATAAAGAATGAGAAAAATCGAATGTCAGTCAAGCTTTGTACGTTATTCAGGAGAATGTGAGCTGCAAATAATCGCAACCCTTGTCAAAACGTATTTACGAAAAGATACGAGAGAAAAGATTCTTGTTCCCTCGATAACAGTTTTTTCCACAAAAAAAAAACATAAAAAAATCAATTTAATTATTTCTGTTACAATGGATAAAATTCTGGGGACATTTTTCTATTTTTTTTTACTTCTGTTCTCAAACAGTCGGCAATTTGCGTCAAAAAGTAATTATTTACGCAGTTTTTAATTCTGACAGAAGCTGCACGCATTTTTTTCTCATTGGTTTCAACAAACATATTATAGAATGGCTAGAATACAGAGTGACTAGTAGTCAATAGTGTCGGAAATGAAATATTCTTAGAATGTAAATGTATTTGAATATTTATACTTTTTTTTTCCATTGATCGAATTACATAGTTTCATTTATTGGAGAACTTGGCATGTGTGTTCGTCTCGTGTCCGAAAATAAAACAGCTGATTCATGAAAATGCTAAATTCATGTCATTACAATTAGACCGCGAGAATCTGAAAGGGAGCGACTTGATTAAGCCTGATATTTGCATAATCAGAGAACAGCTTAGCTAGAATAAGATACGAATATAAGAGCTCATATCTTATACTTGTAATCGTCATTAAATAAAACGGAGTATAATAAGATAAAACATTCTTTTTTAATCAAGCAATTCCTATATTAATTGATTGATGAATATATTCTAAATATTACATTTGATAGAATGATTGTAGATATATACAAAATTATATCCTGCTATTTCTAGACGCATTTCATAATATATTATTAAATTCTTTTATTGGAATATAAAAGTTACTGTACTACAATTACAAATAAATATAATATGACACAACTTTTCGTTTTATGCATATCTTCCTCAATCTTAAATATAAAAGTATTGTGTATTTAATTACGGTAATTAAATGAAAGATATGCATAGAACGAAAAATAACTTTGCATGTCACTTTTCTGAAATATGTATCTTTTATTAGTTCACTAATCTGATGAGTAACTGAAATAAGTATGTATATATATATATTTTTTTTTCTTTTTTTTAAATTTTTAAATACTAATGTTATTCACTAGCGATCAATCATCTTTCGGCGAACCTAATCGTATCAGAGTAGAGAATTAATGTATGTTGACAATTATAAAGTTCCCAAGTTGCAGGAGCGTCGACGCGGAGCACAGCGCGAGCGCCGAGGCCATTGTGAGCCTCGTGCTCGGTCCACTTTTGTGTTTGGCTCCAATCTATTCGTGGCTGAACGATAGACGCGACGCAAACTACTTTAATCCTTCGACAAACAGGGAACGCGAATGCATTCCCATCCCCGGGACCGTTTCGGGAACCAGATTGTACTCGAGCACGTGCCGCTGCGGGATCAAGTTTGGGCTCCGACTCGTGGTGTGTGCCGATGCCATTGAATACAAGGTGCAACAGGACTGCGTCCACGGGGAGAGAATAATGGTCGTCGGCCCCGCGGCTGAATTCGGCGCACGTGCGCCCATTGAAGACGAGGGCCGAGGTATCGTGAGGTCGCGACAAATATACCATTGCACCGTGAAACGTTTACCGTCGCCCGCGGAACATGGTCTATCGCCCGGTCCAAATATTTCGCGATCACATTCCGACTCCCTTTCTCCCCCCCCCTCCCCGCCTTGCCCCGCGCCTTGTCTTCCCTCTAGATATACATTAATATTCCGAGTTTGAGTGGGGTACTAGGATATCTTGGAGAGTCTGAACTTCCTCCCAGAATTCATCGCTTCATCATGTTACAAATTCCGTCGGCCGATAATCACGTACTTCGTGCAACTCGGTTCGTCTGAAATTCGAGGTCGTTTCGGAGGTTGGCGAAAGAGAACATTATATACATAATACAATACGGTGTATTCCGTTTGCACAGAATTAAAGTGCCTCACGACGTATAAATTCCTGCTTAATTTAATATTAAAGCGGTAATTGCCATTCGCGTGCAATTAAAACGTATTCTTTTACAATTAAGTGAGAGCCTGAGTAAGCCTGAGTTCCTTAAGTTACATTCTCAATAGATGTAATAAAGCCTGATTTTCCGTTTGAAATTTTTTTACTTTAAATTGAAATAAGCCCATTTTATTTTTTTGCGAACTAAATAGGAATATAAAAGAAAGAAAAACAATGACAAATTTTATGATTCGAAAAAGTTACATATTCATACACTTTCTTGATTTAAGTTACTAACGCGTCTATTTCAATTAGAATAATAGTGGCTGTGGATTAGTCAGACACGTGTAATTACTTACGCCTACTTACATGTACGGGTTAATTATTTTCAAACGAACATCTCTCTCCCGGGGCATTAGCAAAGCACAAAAATGAAATTAATGCAATCCTTAATCAGATTAATCAAATGTATTACGCATGTATCGATCCGACGTTAATTTCTAGTTTATACACTACAGGAATATCGTGCGGTGTTGATTAATCACCTTTGTAACGCCCAACGTAGAACGCATGCCGCCCATTTGACTACGTGCGCCATGTAAATAGGCCGAATTATTAGAATTGCAATTAATTATGGTAAAAAATAATTTATCGTCGCATTCCCAGTGGCCGAATCCAATGAACGATTTATCGGACGCTCACTCGGAAAACAGAAAAATAAATCAAAAAGCTCCATTTAATTAGCTGCTTTGACGGTAACGAGCGCAAATTTGTGATCACGAAACGTCATCGTGTAGGATATGAAAAAAAAAAAAAAAAAAAAAAAAAATAGCCAGCAATGCGTTATCGGCCAATTTTCGCTTCGAAAGGCAGCGCGCCGTTCAGGGATATTAATGAATTGAAAAAATCGATAGCACCGCCAAAGGACAGATAAGCGTGAATCTCTTTTAGCGATCCCTCGCGCGGAAGTAATATAGTTCGAGACTTGTCTTGAACTTCTTGAATGAGCGACAACGAAACGGAGGCGGCAACTAAACAACTTCGCCGAATCGTGCAATGGCCATTTAGCCAAGTGTTGGAGGACGATGGCAGTAATTAATGAGGCATACGTAAAACCGAAGAGGAACTTAGGAGAAGCTAAGGGCACGTGCGCTGCAACTCTTGTGTACTAGAGAACTTGTGTTAATGGCTCCTCCGGGGAAGAAGAAGAAGCCAATACCAGAGTAGAGAACATCTTCTAATTATTACATACAAATTACATATATGTTCGATTTAATGGAAAAGATAAACGAGATATTTTTCTCATACAAGGGCATTTATGAGAGTTACATTCGAGGAAGAGAATTTAAAATCAAGAATGTGCCCTGAAAAGCTATTAGTCTAATGAAATTGAAAACAGTAACGTAACGATTAATTAATTGCTTTTTATTCGTTATAATGTGCTCAGCAGAGACATTAGCTATTAGTAGACGTAAGCTGCTTACGGAATGCTGCACATGCCATTTTATTTGTCATACTTTGTCACTGCACGTAAGCTTATACAACGTCTTATCCTTCTTTCACATTATTTCAACTACCCGGCATAACGTTCGCATTGCTCGCTATCTGCATAACCTAAATCGTGTATATCTCTCGGAGGTGTGTAACGAGCATAAATCTCGCATTTCGAACGGTACTTCCGCAACTTTCCCATATATTTTCACGTTACTCCCACTAAAGCTTCATTATAATTCACGATAGTTCATTCGGTGGACATAAAGCTGTTTTATCGCTTGAATTAAACTGCTACAACGGTCAAATTGTTAATAATGAAAAGCATATGTCGGGCGCAACCTGGAGAATATGGGTTATGCAAATCCTATAAATAAGATTATCTCTCTCGTACCTGTTAATCAATTCCTGAAAATCAACACTAACCTGGAAAAAGGGTTAACAGGGGATGCCTCGTACGCGCAAATGCCACGAACAAAATCAATCTCGGTGCGCCATTATTTCATTTCCGAAATTAATAAAACAGATTAATGAAGGGATTCTCAACAGGGAAGTTGTAAATTAGGCGTGATAATCTGTTATTTCATGCGTAATATTTTCCAGTTTTTCATGCGCTACCCGTGTAAATTAAGCAAACGCTTCATTTTTTTTTTATTTCACGCAAATAAACATTTATAATTTACATATATCTGGTTTTTTCTGACCTGAATTTACATTTGCACAATTAATATATAAATCAAATAAAATCAACTTAGCATAAATGAAAAAAAGAGAGATTTTGCGAAAAGCATAAAATAAACAGGATTATTCCGATTGTACAGCAGGTACGGTATCTTTCTGAAATATGAAATGCTAAGAAAGCAAGAAGAAAGAAAAACGGAAGGAATGAAGAAGCGAGAGACAACAATGCTACTTTGTAAAGAAGTTTGTCACTATTGTTGACTTAACTATTTAAAAAGTATTACCCTAGATGTCGACTTGAAGAACGTATCTAAAAGTGTACAGTTTAAATTGCTACAAAAAGGAATGCATTACATGGACGCACTAAAACAAAGGCACATACCATTGCTATCGTGAAATTTCTTTCTAGATTATTTTTATTTCGTTAAAATGTGGAGAGAAGAAACGAGAAATTCCGTGCAAAAATAGCAAGTATGACATTCGTGACTTTTTGGCAGGCCTACGAAAGGCTTAACATGCCATTATTTGACGGGGAATGAGCCTTTTAACGGCATCCCACAGAGAGGTTCACAAAAGAACCGCGATAGCTTCATTTGGTCGTCTACGTCGATTTAGATTAATGAGTGATCGAGTTTGGAGGGAAGAATTCAAGGGAAAACAAGAGTGCGGCAAAGAGATGGGGTTGAAGTATAGCTCACACACTGTGACATAATGGTCGATAAAATCCGTTCGGTCGAAATACGTGTCGAAATATGCACCGACATGAATGGGCTGCCGGATGTTCTTTTCGCTGACGTCGACGTCACTGCTCATGAGCTTTGCAGGAAGTATCCCCATGGATGGCAGT